ATTTCCCAAGTTTCCCAATCCACAAGGAGGATCTTGCAGTTTGGAAAAACACTGCTTGAGACGCTTTGCTGGTGTTAAGTGCCCAGAACATCTAGAAATCATTCAGAAAATCTAAGTAGACCTCAACACCAACAACCAATGCAGTAATCTAATTCCTGTGGTTAAAATGACTTCCAGATGGGATTATGATTCTCAAAGCCCTCTCTGGCCCCTATCAGTACTGGCCATTTTATCATTGCTGATTTTCTACTAATTGGCAAAAACTCAGCAGTTTTTCATTGATAAGCCTCTATCTGGGGGAAGTCCTTAATGTTTTTCATTTAATATCCCTCTTTTCCCTCTTGCAAATAATAGGGTTGAAGATATAATAATGAGTCACAACAGCTCACAATGGACTGGTGTGCAGAAAGTAAATAATCAACAAATTCTTTGAGTGCCTATATTTCAGGCTCTCAGCATACATACAAGAACAAACGTGATTAGGTTCCTGCCCTTGCAAGCACATGTAAACCAAAAAGTATCTTAGGCAGCTCTCAATAAATTCAGAAGTTTATTTTGCCAAGGTTAAGGACACACCCTGGAGACAGGTCTGTGCCTTTCTCCAACAATGATTTTGAGGGCTTTAATATTTAAACGGGAAAGAGGGAGGGTATGGTAATCCACATGTTACAAGAGAAAAGGAGCAGGTAGGGGAAGAATCAGTTACGTGTTTGTCTATAAGATAAAGTGAACATAGAGCAGCTACCTGTGGAGAAATTTAACCTTTTAACTATAGCTGTTTGCTTAAAAACAAAAGGAAAGGCAGCTTTCCTGTATGTCTCAGCTTTCAGCTTAATTTTTTCCTTTTGGCATACTGAACTGGAGTCCTGAGTTTTTGTCTTTCTTTCACATACATAACCTTGTAGAGTAAAAGAATATGCAAATAATAATGATGCAATGATCAAAGTTCAAATAGAGCTACTCAGCTTGGGAGCAGTCAGAATGCCTTTCAGAGGTGCTGACATTGCACCTAGATCTTAAGGGTTAAGTAGGAATGTATCAGGTAGGGAAATGGGAGAAATCATTTCAGGCAATGAGACTAGCATAAGAAAGTGTGATGTTTAGGGGAACAGTATCTCAGAATCAGGAACTACTCCAATGTCACTATAATCATCTTAGTGTCCTATATTCAATAGGAAAGTTCAAAATTTTGGCAGGAAGGAGGGCAGGAAGGAGAGCAGTCAGCCAACACAGAGGAGCCAGCCACACAGCGTGCCTGGGCCATGTCGTCGCAAGTCTTCGTTCTGTCTTGCAGTCACATTCTCTGTATGCCGTCAGCCAGCACCTCTGCAGCCCTTACTTTCTGACTTCCTTTGGCTACCAAAGCCATCAGTGCCCTTCATTTTCTGCTTGCAAAGGAGTGAAGTGGGAATGAAAAATCACTTCTAATGATTTTTTTTTTTTTGAAACAGAGTCTCACTCTGTCGCCAGGTGCCAAGCTGAAGTGCAGTAGCACAATCTCGGCTCACTGCAACCTCCGCCTCCCAGGTTCAAGCACTTGTCCTGCCTCAGCCTCCCGAGTAGCTGGGACCACAAGCGCACACCACCACACCCAGCTAATTTTTGTATTTTTAGTAGAGATGAGGTTTCACCATGTTGGCCAGGATGGTCTCGATCTCTTGACCTCGTGATCTGCCCGCCTTGGCCTCCCGAAGTGCTGGGATTATAGGCTTGAGCCACTGTGCCCGGCCCTAGTTATTTTTATTATGTTATATTTTATATGATTGTGCATTGTATAACAATACTACCACTATTCAAGATTGCGATCCTGAATAAATACAAAATCATTTCCTCTAATTGACTTGAGCAAGTTGTTTGCTTGGAAAGTGCTAAAACTGCTCACAATTCTTGTTATTACCAGGTAAAGTTTGCCATTACCATAAACCTCTCTTTCTGATGGAAAAAAAATTACTCAAATTACAAAACTATTATCTCTAACACTGCCTGTCATTTTTGTGCAAGTAGGGATTTCAAGAGAAGTCATTACTTCAGTCATCACAAGCTATATTATTAATGGTATTGGGTATTGTCACAGGATTATGACTTTTTGCTGCTTATAACTATGGAAAATAATATAATTTCCAAATGAAAAGAGAAGAAGGAAGATAGCGTGGCAATGCTTAATCCTCTACTGCAAAAACATGCCCTTAGTTATTCCAAATGGTTGCTAGAGCTTCATTTTTTCCTGGTGTGATGACCTTGCTCAAAGAACAAATGTGTTGTACAACACGGAGCATTCACCAATCAGTCTCCTTCAATATTAGGACCAACGTATTTCTACCATCTACACATACACACCCCAAATTCCTTAATTTTATTATATAAATTTGTTTCTGACTGAATGACAGTCTTCAAAAGCTTATTCCATTTGGTATAATTTTTTAGTGGCACCTTCTGCTGTGTGCTGTCCATTTCATTGTGCTTATGGTATTTATAAACAGGTGCTGAAATTTCATTTAACAGGTACTCAGTGCATCTTTTTTTGTGACTGTGCAGCTTTTTGTTTGTTAATTAAATCTTCTACTTTTATTATATTTATATTTTTCCCCTGTTAATTTTAAAAATTAAATAGCCTATTCTTCTCTTACTCAGTCTGCCCTGACATTTACTGCTATATACATTTTATTTCTCTTTCTGTCTTTAATCTTACCTACCAGTGCATGGGTACAGAGATAAATGTTTTACTCAGTCAAATTCCAAATCTTCAGCTAAGGGAAGAGTTCGTAATCAAGGTACTGTATTATGTGTCCTAATATGTCACTCTTTTAAACCATCTTCATGTGCAACTGCATATGTTACAAGTAAATTTTTTTGCATTTGTAAAATTACATCGTTTATTCTCATCTGCATTCTGAATTTCCTGTGATTCCATTTACAGAAAAGGTGATACTTGCCATAATGTCTTAAGAAAAACCTCATAGACTACATAGAAAGATTCATGTGGCTGGGCATGGTGGCTCACGCCTGTAATCCCAGCACTTTGGGAGGCCAAGGCAGGTGGATCACCTGAGGTTGGAAGTTTGAGACCATCCTGACCAACGTGGTGAAACCCTGTCTCTAAAATAAAAATACAAAAATTAGCCAGGCGTGGTGGTATGCGTCTGTAATCCCAGCTACTCGGGAGGCTGAGGCAGGAGAATCGCTTGAACCCGGGAGGCAGAGGTTGCAGTGGGCTGAGATCACGCCACTGCGCTCCAGCCTGGGCACAAAAGCGAGACTCTGTTAAAAAAAAAAAAAAAATCATGCATGTGAAGCTGAAATCACCAATGAAAACTTTTCTTGGGAACTAGTCTCCTGACCCCATAAATTCTTAGAAAGAGAAGCAGATGCAACATTGTCATGGTGACTTCTGGTCACCTAGAAACATGACTTTGATTTAATACTGGGAGAAGACTAAAGCTTCTCAATCAGCCTTCCTAGACCTGAAGAAGAAACCCACTTTAGGGAGGCAATAGGAAAGTCCTGTATGCCTGTGACGCCATCATTGAGATGAACACCACAGTTCTACAGGGATTTATGAGGGCTTCTTGCTTTTAAGGTGATACAGTGCTAGTCAAATTTGAGAATTAGTACATGCCTTTGTGTCTGGATGTTTGATATACAATAGTCTCACTTGCATGTAGAGATCTTGATTTTTCTAATTAATATAACTAAGATCAGCTTATCTCATTGAGACTCTTCTAGCATGTCAGCTTGCCCTTTCTCTTCGAAGATACCTGCTTCTGGCCGGGCACAGTGGCTCATGCCTATAATCCCAGCACTTTGGGATGCTGCAGTGGGAGGATTACCTGAGATCAAGTTTGAAACCAGCCTGACCAACATGGGGAAACCCATGTCTACTAAAAATACAAAGTTAGCCAGGCATGGTGGCGCATGCCTGTAATCCCAGCTACTGGGGAGGCTGAGGTAGGAGAATTGCTTAAACCTGGGAGGCAGAGGTTGTAGGGAGCCCAGATCGCACCATTGCACTCCAGCCTGGGCAACAGGAGTAAAACTCCATCTCAAAAAAAAAANAAAAAAAAAAAAAAAAGATCTCTCTTTCTTACTGTACATTTTATTTTATTTATTTATTATTTATTTTTGAGACGCTGTCTCATTCTGTTGCCCGGTCTGTAGTGTAGTGGTGCTATCTCAACTCACTGCACCCTCCACCTCCTGGGGTCAAGTGATCCTCCCATCTCAGCCTCGCAAGTAAGTGGGACTACAGGCATGCACTACCCAGCTAATTTTTGTATTTTTTTTAAGGTAGAGATGGGGTTTCACCTTGTTGCCCAGGCTAGCCTCAAACTCCTGGGCTCAAGTGATCTGCCCACCTTGGCCTCCCAAAGTGCTGGTATTACAGGTGTGAGCCACCATGCCCATTACTAAATCTATAATTTCTCATTCTTCATGGTTACTGGAAAAAAATATATAATCTTGTTTAGAGTTACAGTGTTTTGGCATGATATACAAATATTAATTCCAAATCTAGATTTGAGTAGACTTATTAAGTTTCTATTTTATATCTTTAAATGTCTTGTCAAATTGATCAAATAAGCAAAAGAATGTTCCTGACTTTTTTCATGAAGCCCTGAGAAATTGAGTAACTCAGCATTCGCCTTCCTAGACTTTATTCGTATCTCCTGCCAGCAATTTTTGTTTCCAGTATCAATGCACTGCTTCTACTTATGATCTTAGTATTTACTTTTAAATCCTGAATTTACATCCAAATATAAAATAGGATTGATTTGGGTGATTTTGTGGGTCCTTCTGAGGCTAAGATTGAATGATTTTGAAATGCTATATTGAATAATGTTTATGTTACAAAAGTAAGTAACAAATGACCATGTGACTTATGATTTTTAGATTAATTAACTTGCGATGGCCTCTAAAACTGTAGCTCCAGAGAAGGCAGCTTTTTCCTTAGTCAGTAGCAGTCCCACATTCGATGGTCTGACTCCATTATTTTGACTTTTGTGAAGGTGTGTGGGCAAGTCTCCGCTCTAGCACTCGCCTGATCAGCTCTCCAACATCCTTCATTGATGTTGGCGCCCGGCTGGCAGGCAAGGATCACTCGGCCTCCTTCAGTAACAGCACCTACCTACAAAACCAGCTCTTGAAACGGCAAGCAGCCCTTTACATATTTGGTGAAAAGTCACAACTAAGGGTAAGATTTCTTTTTTCTCACTTAGAAACTTTATGGATACACTCGATCTGTTTATAAAACCTGCATCACAAACCAGCTTTCCTAGAATTTTTTTTTACAGCATGATTCTTAACCTGGAGTTAATAATCAGTCTCAAAAAAATGAGCTCTCCTTTTATATTTATTTATACACATACTAATATTAATATAGATATATACACATAAATACATATGCATATTTATTAGCCATGAAAATAAATATTTATTCATAATCGTAAAAAATCAACATAAACATCAGAAATATTAGGAAGTATACATACAAAAAAAGAAATAAGGCTTAATCAGGCTGTATTTTCAACAGCTTTGATTCAGTTTCCACAGGAATCTGCCCAAAGCAAAACAGATAGTTTTCTTGTTGTAAACCTATTGATAAAAAAGGGTACAGAAAGATAGAGGAATGGGGAGAGGAAGACTGTGGTACCATGTATGGAGGCAAGGCAAGGCCAAGGGTAGGTTTTATAAGTAACACTTGTTAAGATTTTGCAAGGCTAGACAGATAGACTCACATATCCTAAGACATGTTAGAAAATTCAAAATACTAGATGCTAATGAACTTTATTCTTACTGTTAAATTGTTGTGCTGAAGAGCTTCACTATGCTGAGGGCCCATAAATTGTAAAGATGGTCTTTTCCTCCAAAAACAACGATAATTCCTTGAGTTTAATGTTTTGCAAGTCACACATTACAAAATAAATTTCATTACTATCAATAGGTGTATAGGACATGAAAGGACATGAAAGAAATCTCCTCAACGTTTAGGTCAGTGCTCCAGTTGGCATTGGACAACCAAGACAGACCTCTGGCTGAACCGTGGAACAGAAACTGTGAGCAGGGTGCCCTTAGCAAGATACCACATGCTTGGCCCTTAAGACGCCAGTGACTTAGTCATCTCTTCTGTAGCAGGCTGGCCTTGCTAGCTCATCTCCCACTGCCTGGACTGCTGCAACCACTTAGTCACCAACCTTTAGGGTAGAGGGTATAAAACTGCTGGGTAATGCTTAATTTTTAAATCTGTATGTGTATCTTCTGATATAGTAGATAATTTTATATCCAGAAAATAGAACACTTTTCAACAGCAATCCAGGGTTGCTGGTACCAGTGTCTTTTCCAGAGCACAGACTTTCCGTGCTTCCACACACCACTTACTCGTGATACGAATCACTCTCCGAGGTTTAGCTCCTGAATACTCACCTCTGCCATTCTCTTTGCACATCGTTTCTCAGATTAGCTGTGTCACCATACATACTGGAGTAAGAAAGACTTGAGATGCAGACTTTTTCCTTCCCTCTCTTCCTTCAGCCCTCTTTCTTTTTCTTTCTGTCCTTCCTCAGTAAAGTGTGTCTGTGTCTGTGTCTGTGTGTGTGTGTGTGTGTGTGTGTGTGTGTATTTTTTTGTTGTTGTTGAGACAGGATCTCCCTCTGTCACCAGGCTGGAGCGCAGTGGCGCTATCTCAGCTCACTACAACCTCCACCTCCCGGGTTCAAGCGATTCTTCTGCCTCGGCCTTCCAAGTAGTTGGGACTACAGGCGCGTGCCACCACACACAGCTAATTTTTTTTTTGTATTTTTAGTGAAGAAGGGGTTTCACCACATTGGCCAGTATGGTCTCGATCTGTTGACCTCATGATCTGCCTGCCTCGGCCTCCCAAAGAGCTGGGATTACAGGGGTGAGCCACAACGCCTGGCCAAGTATTACTATTTTTAAAAATGTAATCCCACCATTCTGGCACAATAGTTGTTAGCAATTTTATATATTTCATTCAGGTTTTATCTTTCATTCGGTTTTGTGTGTAGAATATAGCTCTGTATCTGCCTGATATGTGCCACATTCTAACTAACACAGTGCTGTCCATTTACAATTCCACACCTTTTTCTTCCGACAAAGAAGCATAAAGGAAAGCCAATAAATTCCAGTGACTTACTCTGAAAATATTTTTGAATTTGGCCTTCTTTACCTAGGTAAATTCACATACTTGAATACTTTGTTAGGAGGAACAAATTCCTTACAGCCTAATGGAGGGTCTCAATACTTTGGCTGGTAACTCCTGGTTTGTAAGATAGGCATACCTAGCGCACGTATAGCTGGGAAATAGGAATCTATTTTCCAGAGAAGTGAACTGTGTTTTATCTATTACAAGTTTTTAAAAATAATAGAGAGGAACTCATGTATATTGCTAGGTTCTTTATCTTAAGTCTTAACATCGTGTTTGCATGTCATGTCAGATAGTAGTCTTCATAACTACGTTAGTCACTATTCATCCCATATTGTTGGTTGTTTAGGTTTCTTTATCTTCTGTATATAAAATTACAGTCACAATTCTAAGCGTATAGGTTTTGTTATTTTTTTATTGAGATACCATTCCCTAGGGTTTTTTTCCTATTACATTATTTCCTTAGAGTAGCTTCCTTAAAATGGAATTATTAAGACAAAGGAAAAATTGTAAAATACACATAACAAGATTTATCATCTTAACCATTTGTACGTGTATGACTCAGTATTATTAAGTACATTCATGTTGCTGTGCAACTAATCTCCAGAAAGCAGTTTTGCTCTTAGAAAAGCAGATGGTCCAGCAAGAGTAATTTGGGCAAAACGAAAAGAAAGTGGAAAAATTTTGAGAATATTAATTCATTCTTTGGCATGAAAAGTTAGAGGACTCATGCCAATCTTCTTCAGAGCTAGGCAACCAGATTATTAAAATGAAATATACCAGTAGGCCATCATATAGCATTCTTTAATTATAATGCAACACTCATACCCACACAAAATGAATTAAATATGGATTAAAGATGTAAATGAAAAAGTACTCAAATAAATATAGGTTGATACACATGTCATATTAAGTGAAAAAATATTATCCCAAAGATAGAAATGAACAAAACCTTTCATGGTTTTTTTTTTTTTTTTTACAAACTCATTGGCAGCCTCTGCAGCTGTGTGGCCCCGCCTAACTATTTCAGTGCACTGCCCCATTGAAAACATCACTGTCTTACCTATAGTACTTCATCTCCTAACTCTCTGAATCTTCATCCACAGAACTTCAAGGTAGAATTTGCTTTAAATTGTGAGTTTGTTCCTGTTGAATTTCATGAAATCCGACAAGTGAAAGCCAGTTTTAAGAAGCTGATGAGGGCTTGTATCCCAAGCACCATCCCGACTGACTCAGAAGTGACCTTCTTGAAAGCACTGGGAGATTCTGAGTGGTTCCCACAGGTAATGCCTGCAACTGCTTCTTTATCTCAAAGAAACAGAAGCCAAGCAGAAATATAGAGCTGTATTTGAGAAAAAAATACTTTGTTCCCCCACTACTTAACATTCTCCTCCTTCATTGTGTGCCATCTGTAAAGGCCTTTCAGTTTCAGGAAGTCATCTGGTATAGGAGGTGAGGGAGTAGTAATCCTGATCACTGGGTTTTTATCTCTGTGTAATTGAAAGTTTGGTGTCTGTAGGACACTATTTTAGATGGAAACTTTTTATGTTCAGTAGATTTAGTCAGCATGTATTTACAGGGCTCTTGCCTAGTTGTCAATACAGTAAGGATCCAGGGCAGATGGCAACTTCTGCATGACTCAAAGAGCTCTCACCTTTCATTTGTCTGCCTGTTCAAGGTCTCTAGATTTTAGATTATCCCCAAACCAGCCACCAAAGGCACACTGGATGCCCCCAAACCTACCTAAGGCTTGAGAAAAATGTCTGTCTTTCAGTTCATTCAACCTTGGGATATTCTTAATTGAACTTTTATTGAGAAATTAGAGGGTCTTGTCTTTAGGCCCCTTTATTTCTTATGTTACCCAGGCTGGTCTTGAACTCCTGGCCTCAAGTGATCCTCCCACCTTGACCTCCCAAATTGCTATAATTACAGGCGTGAGCTGCCACGCCTGGCCCCCATTATTTCTTACCACCTTGCAGAAATTCCCAGCCCCCTGCCTCCATCTACTTCTAAGCATCCTGCCTCTCTGGAGGAGGAAAAGGGGTTGTTTCCCACAACACATTGGACTAAAAGGCAAGAAAAAAAAAAAAAAAGGAAATGATGTCAGTACCCAGGTCAGTGACTGTTCTCAAGATACTTAAACCAAAGAGAAATGCTGCCACACACACAATTGGCTATAAATGTATCATGCCGTGTTCATTATTATTAAGGCAATTTAGGGTGCTTTGCATACCCATGGAAGGAACTGATCAATACTCCTTTCTGTCCCTAGGCTATGAGCCCCAACTCCAAACGGACCCCACCACCCAACTTACCCATCCATGTTTCTGATACATTCTGTGCTCTGCTTTTTGCTAGAAAGTGGACCTGTACCAAAAGTTAGGCACTAAAGACAGTGGAAAATAATTGCCCACTTAGGATACTGACATTTTAAAAGTTAACTCTTAAAGCAAATTCTTTTTTCAAGTTTTATTTTGGGTTCAGGGGTACATATATAGGTTTGTTATATAGGTAAATTGCATGTCTTGGGAGTCTGGTGTACAGATTATTTCATCACTGAGGTAATAAGCATAGTACCTGATAGGTAGTTTTTTTATCCTCACCCTCCTCTCACCTCCAACCTTAAGTACACCCCACGAGTCTCTTCCCTTCTTTGTGTCCATGTGTACTAAATGTTTAGCTCCCACTTAGAAGTGAGAACATGCAGTATTTGGTTTGCCGTTCCTGCATTAGTTCGCTTCAGCTGTGTTACTGCAGAGGACATGAGCTTATTCTTTTTATGGCTATGTAGTATTCCAAGGTGTATATGTACCATATTTTCTTTATCCATTCTACCATTGATGGGCATATAGGTAACTCCATGTCTTTGCTATTGTGAATAGTGCTACACTGAACATATGTGTGCATGTGTCTTCATGGTAGAACAATTTATATTCCTTTGGGTATATACTTAGCAATGGGATTGCTAGGTTAAATGGGCCAACTACTTTCCACAATGGCTGAACTAATTGACATTCCCATTAGCCTTGTTATAAGTGGTCCCTTTTCTCCACAGGCTCGCCGGCATCTATTATTTTTTGGCTTTTTAATAATAGACATTTCTTAGAACAAATTCTGAGCCCAGGAGAATTCAGGCCTGGTGATAGCTATGTTGTAGAAACACTGTGTGAGGAGCTTCTCATTACTGAGTAGGACATTTGCCTTATTCCTGTGTTTAAAGTAGCCTCACTTTGTTTAAGATACGGTTTTTTTCATTTTTGTTCTTGTTCTGAGTTGGATTCAAATTGCAAATTATGTCTGAAAATTAAAATATTTTTTAAAACTAGAATGCTATACATTTGGTTTTAAAATCTATATGCTTTGTTTCCTGTGATCCATGTTAGAGGAAGTAAAAAATAAATAAATAAAAAATAAAATCTATATGCTATTCTCATACCTTGTTTATTAAGGACTTTGAGCCAACTGATATAGCTTTAAAAACTTAGCACAAATATAAAGTTTTATTCTCATTTAGTACACAGTACAGACAAATCAGCCTCCTGAGTAGCTGGGACTACAGGCACGTGCTGCCATGCCTGGCTGATTTTTTTATGTTTTGTAGAGATACGGTTTTAACATGTTGCCCAGGTGATCTCGAACTCTTGAGTTCAAGCAGTCCTCCCGCCTCAGCCTCCCAAAATGCTGGGATTACAGGTGTTGAGCCACCATGCCCACCAGGAGTATCTTGTTTAAACATGTAATTCACTTACCATGAAATTTATCCTTATGTTAAAAGCGTACAACCCAATGCTTTCTGGTATATCCACAACGTTGTGTAACTATCACCACAATCTAATTCCCAAAAAAGTAGGAGTATCTGAAATAGAATGTATTGCATCATGGAAAAACAAATTTTAAATCCAATAAAATTCATCTGAATTTTCTTCCTTTGTTGGGAAATTGACATAGAAGCTGTATCTTTTGTACTCTATGGAATTATAGCTCACCTACTTTTGAGGGAATCATGTAAGGTCATTTATTTCATTATGTATTACTAGAATGTATTGTTTTAAAGTGTGTCTACTTTTTTAAAGTATCATTTTGTTGTTTTATTGAGATGGGTGTCTCACTATATTGCCCAGGTCATTTGAACTCCTAACCTCAAATGACCTGCCTGCCTTGGCCTCCCAAAGTGCTGGGATTATGGGCATGAGTCACTACACCCAGACAAAAGTATCATTGTTTAATCTTGATATGGAAGAACTTTTAAGTATTTATGTTTTTTCCTTTAATTTTTTTTTCTTTTCTTTTCTTTTTTTTTTCTTTCCATGAAGTGGCTTTAAAATAACCTTTAAGTATTTGGTTTTGCAGTACCCATGGAAGGAACTGGTTCTTTTGTCCAAGCGTTTTATCCCTAACTTGTTTGATTATCCAGGGTTGAAAGCAACTCTGACTTGTGTACTCAGAAAGTGCTTGGTCTAATAATTGTGTTTTTCACTATCTTAGCTTCACAGGATATTGCAGCTGGCTGTGGTTGTATCAGAAGTACTTGAGAATGGTTCCTCGGTTTTGGTCTGTTTGGAGGAAGGCTGGGACATCACTGCACAAGTAAATTATTAGACATATTTTTGGATAGTTTATTTTATATTTATATTTCCATTTGGTTGTTTCTGAATTCTTCAGATGAATCTTTTGTATAATGACTAATATGTTTATGGACAGAGAAAGCCCTGTGTTTAACATCACCTGGTATCCATCAGAAAACTCTGTACCGTGAGCTCTCAGCCCCTACACAGCCTGGAGCTCTGGCTTCAGGCATCAAGCTGTTCCATCCACAGATGTACCCTGCAGGCTTGCAGATGGAGCCCTTGACCAGCAGTGTAAGGGGTGGACCAACCTTCCTGGGTTTTTCAGTCCATCCCCTGGCTCTCTATAAGCCCCGCCTTAAGTCTCTCCAGAGTGAAAAGAAACAGTGTCAGTTCAGGCTACATTAAGACATTAATCTGCATCTGCCAAAAAGTAGAATCAATTTGAACTGATCCCCTGACCTCTGATTAACTTAGGAAAAGGTTGCCATCAGCAAACTGGCCAGTTAAGGATTAAAGTCTTAATTCCCTGAACGTAAACTTGTAGCCAAAATGAATTTGAGTTTTAGTTTTTACTGGAAAGTTTACAGAATTCATTTTATTGGCCAGCCTGGAATGGTTAGTGAACAAATTTGCTGTCCAGGTAACTTTGTGATTTAGCTAGCATCAGAAAGAAGTGCTTTTATCTTAGTAATAGGACTTTTTTTTTTTTTTCCAGAACTAAAATTAATGACAAATCCATCCTGCTTGTGCCCTAGGTGACATCCCTGGTTCAGTTACTCGGTGATCCCTTTTATAGGACACTTGAAGGCTTCCGGATGTTGGTTGAAAAAGAGTGGCTCTCTTTCGGTCACAAATTCAATCAGCGGAGCAGCTTGACCCTCAACTGTCAGGGGAGCGGTTTTGCTCCAGTATTCTTACAGTTCTTAGACTGTGTACACCAGGTAAGTAGAGAAAGACTGAGTTGACTTGATGTGAAGGAAAGGATACAACATACTAGCATTGATGGAGCATTGCGATGGTATGCCAGGTACCTTCCTGTCAGAATTCTGATTAACTCAGCCATAGGACATGCTGAAATCTTAGCAGTAGACTCCTAGGAATGGAAAAGAAAAAAAACTGGTTGGTTTCTGAAACTGGAACAGCTAAGCTGGCTATTGGGCTTGCCCCAAGTGAAGTAGCCAGCACTCTAAATTACTGTCTTCAAAGAAGAGGAGCAAACTTGGGCTTATTACCTAAGAACAAAATCTCTAGGTTATGGGAGTCCTGAAATCCAGCACATGGTCTGCCCAGTTTGGGAGGACCCTAGCTTGTGCCTGGGAACATAAGAGGTAAAGTCTAACCCCTGGAGAAATAATCAGGGTCCAGTCAGACAGGCGTATAGGCTTGAGAACACTGGTCATTTCTACCACATTGAGAAAATGTGTTACATACACACTATGAAATACTATGCAGCCATAAAAAAGAATGAAATCATATCTTTTGCAATGACATGTATGTAGCTGGAGGCAATTATCCTAAGCAAATTAATGAAGAAGGAGAAAATCAAATACTTCATAGTCTCACTTATAAGTGGGAACTCAAGTATATCCATTCAAATGCAGTGAGAGTAGGGGAGATGGGAGTGTTCCAGGCTCCCTCCTGCCTTCATCCCAGGCACATCAGATACAGACCTCTGGATGGGGCCTTGGTCAGGATTGGGTTTGAGAACTGGATGGCACTGAGCTTGCAAGTTGAAGACTGAATTGGCCTAGGAAAAGCAGGCCTATTTCCAGCTTTGTTTCATTTGACCACAATCCCAGGGTTGGATGAATGGGTTCTGGCATGTCAAACATATTTGTGGGAATGGTGAGCCTCGTTGAAACACACTGGCCTCTAATACCGATTGGAAAGAAAGGTAGAACTATGTTTTCAGGAACCAGGGATGAAACCAAGTCTTCTGATGACACCAAGTTAGTATGTGGTTATGTTTTGTTTTTATTCTAATAATCACTTCATCAACTTTCTAAATCACTACATAATTTTTGTAAATAACAGCTTTGTTGAACTATGTATCATACTGTTCTCCTATTTAAAATGTTCAGTAGTTTTGAATCTATTCACAAAGTTCTGTAACAATTACCACAGTCAATTTCAGAGCATCTTATCACTCCAGAAACTCCATACTCATGAGCAGTGACTTCCCAACCTTCCACCCCACACACAGGAGGCTATGTTTTTGTTTTGTTTTTTTTTTCTTAAAGATGGGGTTTCACCATGATGGCCAGGCTGGTCTTGAACTCCTGACCTCAGGTGATCCACCCACCTTGGCCTCCCAAATGCTAGGATTACAGGCGTGAGCCACCACGCCCGGCCTGAGGCTATGTTTTTTACTGTTCTAATTTACTTATTAATGAAAAGACCTATTGAAGAATTTTAATTGATCTGTCCCAGCAGCAACTGGAGTTGCTGGTCACAAGGTTAAGTGTGTACCTTTAAACTCTTTGCAGCAAATAGTATACTATATTTGTTTTCTGTTTGAATATTGACCCTTTTATTCATACTCCTTTTGGCAAATAGATGAGGGAGAAGTGTGGAGACCATTGTCTCTGAAACAGAAAGCTTGCCTGAGTCCAAAGGAGAGGAGCAAGCATCTCTTCTCACTTCTAGGCAAGTGAAAGCATATGAGTTCCTCATGAAAGCACTTCTTTTCATGCTTATCTTTTTATTATGCTTACCAAATGGACGGGACTATTTCCTGCCTCCATATACCAACCACCATTATTAACAATAATGACTAATATGTGTTGACTGCTTACTATGTGCTAGGCACTGTTCTGAGCACTATACATGTTATTTTAGTGCATAATTATTTGAATCTTTTGCTAACCCTCACCCTCCCACTTCATTTATATTTCTAATGAGTCATGTATAGACTTTTTTGATAGCATCTATAACACTAAGGTATATTGATTTGTATGTAACTATTGCCCTCTCCTTAGTCTGAGAATTCCTGGGAACAGGGACTATGTCATACTAGTTTTCATATCCCTAGTATCTAACACAATTACAGTTTCAGTCCCTGGAATATAATAGACAATATATAGATAATATCAATGAATACGAATTTGAAAGACCACAAGTCTTGTTCATGCTCATCCATCATCAAGACCATCTAGAATATCCTATGTAGAACTGCTGGCATAATCTTCCAAAAGCTCAGATGCGATGCTGTTATTCCCCTCCACAGAAGTCTTCGAGGCAAACAAACAAAAACCTTCAATGGCTCCACATGTCATAAAGAATTACCCTTCCACATATCCAATTTGAATATAAGTGGGGGAAACCAAAATGTCCTACAACAGGTGAATGGCAACACAAACTGGGATACATCCATACTGTGGACTACTACTCAACAATAAAAAGGAATTAATTACTGGCACATGCAACAACTTAAAGGGATCTCAAGGACATTATATTGAATGAGAAAAAAAAGCAATCTCAAAGGGTCCAATTGGGTATGATTCCATGTATATAATTTTTTTTTTTTTTGAGACAGAGTATCACTCTCTCTCCTCGGTTGGAATGTAGTGGTATGATCTCAGCCCACTACAGCCTCCACCTCCCAGGCTCACACGATCCTCTCACCTTGGCCTCCCAAGTAGCTGGGATCACAGGTGCACACTACCACACCTGGTTAATTTTTTGTATTTTTGGTAGAGACAGGGTTTCACCATGTTGTCCAGGATAGAATCAACTCCTGAGCTCAGGCAATCCATCTGCCTCAGCCTCCCAAAGTGCTGGGATTACAGGTGTGAGCCACTGTGCCCAGCTAATATTTTCAAAATGAGAAGATCATAAATTATTGGTTGCCAGATTCAAGACGGGGGGGAGGGGGGGGGAAGAAGAAAATAAGTGCAACTATAAAGGGGTAGCATGAAAAACAGATGTCCATCAACCAATGAAGAGATTAACAAATTCTGGTATATTAATTCAGTGGAATACCACCCATCACACAAAGGGAATGAAATATTAATATTATAACAACATGACCAATCTTGTGATCATTATGTTCAGTGAAAGAAGCCAAGCAGAAAAGACTAACTATTACATAAGTTAATTTATATGACATTCTAAAAAGGGCAAAACCACAGTGACTGAAAGCAAATCAGTGATTGCCTGGGACCAGTGACCAAGGGACGGGATCAATCATCATGCAAAGGGCATAAGCAAACTTTTCAGCATCAGGAAACAAACTGTTCTGCATCATGATTGTGGTGATGGTTACACAACTGTGTACAGTGACTAAAACTATAAAACTGTACACTTAAAGTAGGGAAATTTTATTATATTTAAATTATACTTCAATAAATCTGGAGGAAAAAAATAACAGTCTTTAATTAGTAAGTCCAACATCTCAGTAAACTAGAGTTCCAGAAAAAGAAAACAGCAGCTATCTTGTTTCTATTAGAAGAATTTGTCTGTCTGGGGCCCAGAAGGTGCCTGTAGGTCTGGCTGCCTGCTTTTTGGAAGCAGGGCAGGAAGTAGGTCCAGGGAAATCCCAGTTCAGTATGCAGACTTTGTTTTCTCCAAGCTGTTTTCAGTGTCTCAAGTCTCATCACTAACACAGTTGTGCCTGGTGTTCCCAAGTCTAGAGCTTATCAGGTTTGTTTTGCTTGTTTTTTGTTTTGTTTTTTTGTTTTTTTCAGAAAATAAACCTCTGATCTGTTGCTCTGAAAAGGGTAATCATAACAACTGCCTCAGTAGACTTCCAGTTAGTCCCATCATAGCCTCCATTTCACCTCTGCATTACTCAATGCTTGGGCCTCTGTGCCCTGAGCCTTTCTGGGTTTACACAGCGAATTGTTACCTTCTTAAATCATTTTCCTCCTGGCAGGAATCTCAACATAGCTTCTTCTCTTCTATCATTTACTGCTATTTTTCCTTCTATTTTCCATCTTTCAAAAATTGCTGAATTGCTTTGGCCCAATACTGTGTTTCCTCCCATTCTCCCCACTCCCTTTTGGGTTTTTTACCTCTTAACAATTCCTTTAATGGGGGAGGATTCCATGGGAATGAGCTTGTGCAGTCGAATTTGGCTTAAGTTAAATGTACTACTTAATGTGTTAAATCTCTATGTTCAACTTGCAGAATTCTGCACACCTAAACATTAGAGTCAGCAAAATAATCCACTCACAATCAGTAAGAGATAGGAGGTTCTCATGTAAGACATACTGTCCTCAAAGACAGGAACCTCATTGTCTCCCAAGTATAATAATCCTTACTTGGAATGAAATTCTTATATTTTATTGTTGGGAGTGGGGCTGGGTGGATGGGAGCAGGAGAGCTCTAGATGTTGGAAGGTAACCTGTATTCTGTTAGTACCCCTTAAGTGGTATGATTAAAGCAATTTAACATATGTTAAGATGTAGCATAAATTACATTCCTATTATATTTAGAATACAGTACCATAGATGCTAAAACTCCAAAATGCTAAGTTAATTAAAACAATTTGGGGTATGTGTTTAATTTATGCTGTTTTCTTTTTTTTTTTTTTTTTTTTGGAGACGGAGTTTTGCTCTTGTTACCCAGGCTGGAGTGCAATGGCGCGATCTCGGCTCACCGCAACCTCCGCCTCCTGGGTTCAGACAATTCTCCTGCCTCAGCCTCCTGAGTAGCTGGGATTACAGGCACACGCCACCATGCCCAGCTAATTTTTTGTAGTTTTAGTAGAGACGGGGTTTCACCATGTTGACCAGGATGGTCTCGATCTCTTGACCTCGTGATCCACCCGCCTCGGCCCCCCAAAGTGCTGGGATTACAAGCATGAGCCACCGCGCCCGGCCTAATTTATGCTGTTTTCTTTACTAATCAGCTAAATTTAAGATTCATCTTTTTTTTTTTTTTAGAATATAGAGTTAAAATTCAAATGTTCTATATAAACTGGTTGGTTCTGAAATCAAAA